GGGGGGGGGGGGGGGGTAGATCAAGTAGAGTTTGTTGAAATTATGTGGTGAAGGTATAATTTATGCAGATATATTTTGGACTCTACCGTCTGAATTTTCTTATAGGAATTCAATTCAATTTTTCATAAGGAATATTATTGTCTTATATCAGGTTAGACTCTAGCACACTTTTACTTTCACTTTCTGATTTGTGTTTTGGGGTTTTCTATGAAAGAGGCTGAAATCAAAAAGTAAAACCAGGAAATTTTCTTTTGAATGGGTTGACACACATCCAGCCTGTAATCTCAGCCTACACAGTTTTATTGATTATTATGATAATATTATGAATAAATTGATTAGTCAAGAAAGAAGGAGACACAAGTAAAGTAATGTGCACTCTATAAAAGCGATGAGTTACAAAATAAACATCAGGAGTATTTATGGCTATAGAAAAATTATGTAGAGTTGACAAACCAAGTCTCAGAGTAGCATCAGGTGATTCATTTCCCTTTTTTCTCTAAACCTGGTATTCTATTTATTGAGAAGTTCTTCAGGCACTATATAATACAGTATTTTTATTTTTTTAGATTTATACCAAATTACAATGGCCTACTCTTACTGGAAGAGTGGAAAGAAAGCTGATAGATCAGTTTTTGATTTGTATTTCCGTAAAAATCCTTTCCATGGAGAATTCACCGTGTTTGCTGGACTTGAAGAGTGTTTGAAATTTATTCAGAATTTCTCCTTTTCTGAAAGTGGTGAATTGTTTTTTATATTAATATTGTCTCTAAACTTCACATAGAAACTGATATAGTTTGTTAACAGTTAATATAAGATATCTTTAAGCTGTTGCTGATTGTATTATTACTAATAGATACACTGGTTTAATTTTTAATTTTGGTTGTATTTTAGATGTGAATTATTTAAAAACAGTTTTACCAGCCAATGTAGAAGAAGAATTTTTTGAATATTTGAGAACGTTAAGTACTGATGATGTTGAGATATATGCTATAGATGAGGGTGAAATAGTTTTTCCTAAAGTTCCTCTGATAATGGTTGAGGGGCCGTTACCTGTCATACAACTGATAGAAACTCCCTTGTTAAATCTGGTTAATTATGCTAGGTAAGATTAAATATAATTACAGGTAGAATACTGACATATAAACATCTGTTTAACCAATACTACTTGGTAAGGATAAAGTTCTTCACGTTTTATAAAATAGTTACCTTCATCTTGTTTAATATTGTAGTTTGGTAGCTACTAATGCTATGAGATTTCGTAACGCTGTCAAACCTGGTACCACACTCTTAGAGTTTGGATTAAGAAGAGCTCAAGGTCCTGATGGTGGCCTCTCAGCTTCCAGATATTGTTATATGGGAGGTAAGTATTGATAATATTAATAACTTATAATCTAATTAATATTTATAATATCAGAAGTATTTTATAAGAGAAAATTGAACAATACAATGTTATACAATATACAGTTTGACAGAAAATGTTTAAAAATAATATTATATTTACCAGGTTTTGACGGTACCAGTAATTCTCTAGCAGGCAAGATGTTTGGAATACCAGTAAGAGGAACCCACGCCCACGCCTTCGTTACATCCTATTATTCTCTTGATGAGGTGACCAACAAGGTAAGTAAGAGTATTTAAAACTAATAGGTGATATATAATTAGAAAGTAAAGCTATCTTTCTGGGTTTACAAAGTTGAATAATGTAAAATTATTTATCTGTCTATATAATAAAAAATAATTCTATTGTGTTTCAGAAATTAAAAAAGAAGAATAGTGAAGAGGAAGTTGATTTTGTAGAATTATGTTTACAATGGCAACAAAAACTAACATCTGTGATAGGTATGTATCAGATCTGATTGAAATTATAAACACAAACATCAACGTTGACTGATAACACAAATTAACTGATTTAGAATTCATTTTAGCAGTAAACCTTTCAGATGATTCAATGTTCATATCATTTAGGATATCTGATTTGTGAGACTATTTTTGACGTTATCTATTTATAGATTTTTTAGCCGACCAAGTTATACCTGGTGAATTAGCTGCGTTTATATCATACGCTCAGGCGTTTCCTGATAATTTATTGTCTCTTATAGACACTTATGATGTTTTTAGGTTCGTACTTGTTTTGATTTAATCTTTCCCTTATTGCACACTGCATGGTGCTGGTCGTGTTCATTGAGCAAGCATGGGACAGAAGTTAGGACTTAATGACAATTTATTCCATTGTTCTGATATTAACCAATGTTGTATTTTATGTTACAGAAGTGGTTTACCTAATTTTTGTACTGTAGCCATGGCGTTGTTTGATTGTGGCTATAAGGCTGTAGGAATAAGACTAGATAGTGGTGATTTAGCCTATCAATCAATACATGTTCGTAAAGTCTTTAAGAAAATAGCCTCACAGTAAGTTTTACTAGAATAATAAAGCAAGTTGTAACAATCAGTAAAACCAATATCAGGTGTATAATAAAACTAGTAACAACTAATATGACTTTCTAGTTTTTCAGTGCCATGGTTCAGTGATTTAATTATAGTTGCTAGTAATGATATTAATGAAGATACTATTCATTCTTTAAATCAACAGGTAGGTATGTCTATTGTAGTTTAGATTGAACAATAAACTGAGACCCCAGTGCTACAGTCTAAAAGGAGTAAGGTAATGCTGCTATCCTGACAAAACTAGATTGAAATTATTGATGTTACTGTCTATTGTAGGGTCATGAAATAAATAGTTTTGGTATCGGAACACATTTAGTCACCTGTCAGAAACAACCAGCTTTAGGTTGTGTTTTCAAGGTAGGTTTTATTCACCTCACAGTATCTTCTTTTAAACCAAACTCTGATCTTTAAATCATATACTTGTTTTACTCACAGAAGCACAGGCCTAGTATATATTATTTACTGATTTAAATTATATAGAACTATTGTTAATATTTTAGTTAGTAGAAGTTAATAATAAAGCTCGTATTAAATTGAGTGAAGATGTAGAAAAAGTGACGATACCTGGTCGTAAAATAGGTTATCGACTGTACGGTAGTGATGGTAAGTAATTTATAATTACTAGAGTATATTTCTAGGTTTAACACTTTATAAGACATGTAACTTAAACAACAACTGAGTTATTTCTTTAACAACTTCTAATTCTTATTACTATTATACACAGTATTTTGTTTCCTTTTTATCTCAATCTGTGAACTAATGTATTTAATGTGTGTTGTAAATTCTAAATATGAATTACAGGTCATGCTCTAGTAGATTTATTAAATCAACAACACGAGACGCCACCTGAAATTGGTAAAAGAACATTATGTCGACATCCATTTCAGGTAGTTTGAGTATTTATCTTCTATCTTTATTATATTGTGTGTATGTTTATAACAGGTCAATATCAACCTATACAACATAATATTCAATAGAACATTGTATTCATTTACCACTAACTAACAATTACTGTATATGAGTTGATTATCAAATCAGAATCTAACAATTGATATTAAATTAGAAATCTGATGTTATATATTACAGGAGTCGAAGAGAGCGTATGTTAATCCTGCTTCAATGAAAGTCTTACATAAAATATACTACAAACATGGCAAGGTGAGAGATGGTATTTATTTTACCTGTTTAAAGATATACACGCTACATATTTTACTTTCTCTTCAAATAGAAGTAAAGGTCTTGATACACCAGATCCTACACGAAACCGTGTTGTGTTGTACTGTAGCCAGTATGTATATGCAGTTTATATTGTTTCTATTTGTTTGTTGTGTCGTATGAGATCTGCTGTATAAACAGCTTGATTCTTGATTTAGCCCACAATTATACCTGTTATTCACTTGTTTTATAGATCCAACAAAGATTACCTACATTATCAGATCTACGAGAGAGAGCCATGAAATCTCTAATACCAATTCGTGAAGATCATAAACGTGCTTTAAATCCCACACCTTACAAGGTACAATTTCTTAATATCTCTAGAAAACAATTTATATTCAACATAGTATCTTATCTCAGAGAGTTTTCTTATTTAGACCTGTTTCTCATTAAAACTTAAATATTTGTCAGGATTAACAGGGGTCTGTTGTGTTATAAAACTTGATCAATCTAGAAAGTAACTTGTATATTTATAAATGTATATTTCAGGTGTCTGTAAGTTCCAATCTGTATAAATTTATTCATGATTTATGGTTAGAAAGTGCACCAATAGGAGAACTATCATAAAGAAACTAGTCATAGTTAGAGTTAGATCTGTTTTATTTTTCTGACTATGTGATACAGGGTTCAATATTATATTGATGACAAGGCTATGTTTATTTCAACTGGTTTATTATTATCAATTCCAATCAAAATGTGATATAGAATTATACAATTAGCATAATAACTTGTAAATATTTGATCAATTTTACTGATTGATAATTAGAATATATAGACTAATAATGAAGATAGATGGTTTTTATCTTGATGAACAAGAAATTTAGAAATTTTATGATTTATATTGTTTCGTTTAACAAGTTGTTTGATCTTAATGCATTTATACACCAAATTAGATATTAGATAGTTCATCATTTTATGCAACATTTGGTTCCTGATTTTCAAAAAGGGGCCCCATCAAAAAATCAAATCACAAGTAAACAGATCTTATAACTTTTTGTGCATCTCCACAGCTGTTGAAATTTTATTTTATTTTTTAAAACAAGTGCTCAATATTTGTGTGTGTTTTTACCATGTTGTCTTCAAGAATAGTTGATTATAAAAACCATAGTGAACACCAGTTATGTATCGTTGCCAATAAGAAAAGCTGTTATATTTAATTGTTGGCAATCATACATATCTTGTAATGACTAAGGTGTGAGGGCACCTATAGACAAGTATATTAATAATATAAATTATTTTCCATATTTATATTAGTTTTATTATCTCCATATTTTAAAGAAAATGTGTATAATCAGTTTTATAGATTGTGATATTGTTATAGAAATATTGCTCAATGTTGTATAACAATGTTTTTATTATCAATAAAATTCAATTCATTTTCACTTTTTTAAATCCTACATTTGGCATTGTGTTGTCAAGGCCTCTGATTGGCTGTACAATCCAATCAAATTTAACTTCCACAATACAAGAATAGTGGATATTGCAGTCAAGGTATAAGAAGAAATTTATAATAGCATGATATTGTGATGATGTTGGGTGTAATAGAAGATATTTTCCTATAGAAGCACTGGCCAAGGTCAAGAGTCCAGTGTTAGAAGAACTGGCACTAGGCTCTACAAGATGATACCACTGGTGATGTCCCCTATTATAAGCTGTGTAAGTTGAAGTCCTATCCCAAGTTGATAATTGGAAAGGCTAGGCTGATAGTGATACTGCAGGCGAGATTTTTCCCTCATTGTACACTGTGGGGTGATTTTATTGTCTGTCATTGTTGGCTATAATTCAAGATCGATGTAGGTAAACAATACTTCATTTAATTCCATTGCAGTTAGTGGGAGATAACAACAGAAGAAGACGCTACTGAAACCACAGTGTTGGGTGTTCTAGAAGATAGGCCTACTCTCCAAAAGAAGCACTGGCCAAGTCACAACAAACAGTGAAATTTACAAAGTCCTTTGCGGTCTGAATAATATGAAGAGTTATTGAATTACCACGTGACTGGTTCACAGCGCCATCTGTTTACCCCGCCATTTTTGGACAAGAAATGGTGGAAAAGTTCAAAAATGTCTGCATTAAATTTAGTGAAAATCAAGAATAATGTGACCAATTTCAAACAGGTTTGTTGTGTTATTTTGTTGTTAGAAATGTTCTAGGGTACAAATAGTACTGAACAAACGACGATTTGAGCTAAAATATGATGTAAAAATTATAGCACGCGCACCTTAGACCTTAGAAGAAGGCGCCATTTTGATTTTGAGGGATAGCGAAATTTGACCAAGTTAAATTTATACATCTACTGTCATGACAAGCTTTATTTAGATTCTAATATATTGCAAAACATTCAATCGTGAAATAGCCTTAATTTGAACATATATTTTGAAGAAAAATCGTCATTTAGAGGTTGATTTTTCGTTGTTCTTCTAAGTGGTGGTGGGGAGGGTGGTAAAGACCAGATTGATCCAGTGCATTTTGACTATCTACAAGGAGGAAGTGGAAGACAAAACCTTCAAGGTCCTATCAATTTGGCATTCCATTGTAAGCCAGTGATACTTTTTTTCATCCTTTCTTTTTCAGAGGCCAAATGAGAAGAAAAGTTGTATAGTACAGCAGTTACTTCCCCTCTTACCACTTTTGTGTCTACTAGGGTTTCTGAATTGAATTCTGTAATATTTTTTATTAACTTCACTATGAGAAAAGCGATGTACCTTACCTCCAAAAATTTATGCAAGATAGATATGTAACAAGTCTAAAGGATAAAAACATTAGCTTCTAAAATAAATCATCGTTGATTGATTTCGGGTTTGAATTTTGTAAACCAAACCCTGGTTCGAAATATATTTGAACATTTCATTTAGAAATTTGCTTGTCATTCAACACGCGACGTCTTATGTCATTGAGTAGGCTAGACATCTTCCTTTGAACATTTACTTTGAGTCTTGATTGAATGTAGTACACATTGATGTCTGATGTGACAAGTGTAGGAGGGCAGACAGACTTGCTTGACAAAATTCAATTCAGAAACCACATTAGTAGTTGGTGAATGGAAATCAAACTGTTAACTTGGAAAAGGTACATACATTTTGATATTTATTTCTAATTCCCATCTAATGATTGCTGCATAAGACAAAGTAAATTTATTTAACAGTTACTTGAATTTGGGTCCATCTGATATAAGAAAATAAGTTTAAAAAAAACACAGGCTTTAATAAAAATTGGCTTGATCAATTTGATAAAAGTCAATCCTTTGCAATAAGAGATAGTTTCTTTGCATTACCAGATGATGGAAGCTTAGTTTTAACTACCTGTATCACTTCTCACAGTAAGTGTGACTTTAGGTTTTTCTACGAGTTGATAATAATTGACAATTGTTTGATTCTCCAAACCTATTAAACTATTCCTTGAAATAAGCATTAATTAATTTGATTTCCCCTCTGATATAGAACTTTATTTGTATTGTGAGAAGTGTTACAGGTTGTGTACATTGAAGGAATATAGTCTTCTCAATATTCACTTGTCCAGCTGATAATAGATCCAATCCGACTGTCTGTATCCCTTTTCAGTATTAAAATCTGTTGTCATTTAATTGCTTACGGGGTGATTTTCAAAAGGGATACAGATGGCTGGAATTGATCTCTTATCAACTGGACAAGTGAATATTTAGATGAACTTATATCTTAAGTTCCATTGTCTGGTGATGAAAAGGGGACTGTCTCATGATGCATAGAAAAGGGGACTGTCTCATGATGCGTAAGACAGCCTTTTAGTGGATTGCAGCAAATTTAGATGGGAATAAGGTTATTCAGTTTTTTGGAGATCGTTTCATGCAAACCCTGCTCAAAGTCTTGGATTGGAATATTGTTTTTTTAAATGGGGAATCCATTGTGGTTTGTAGTCTGTTATGATGTCCCCTGATAGTTAAAACATTTGAACAAATTTGTTGCTCTTGGAACTTTGTACGAATTTAAGCAAAATCCATTGTGGTTTGTAGTCTTTAAATGGAGTTGTTTCCCTTGGATATCTTTATTTTTCTGTCCCTTTGTACCAATTCCAATGGGCTATTGAGAATGGATAATGTTATGTCCTATTTATGCAAAGACTGTCAATTCACCTGCTTTTGGCTTCAAAATGTGCAGCATTCTGTAACACATCCTCAGTCTGGGGTTTCTCCTTTTGCAATTATGTTTAAGAGATAGCAATAGGTCATAATTGTGTATTGAAAATAACCGACTATTTTTTCTCTGTGATCTCTGGATAAGGTGTCGTGTTGACTGCCCCTTTGTTATGCGTTCTGTCATAAAGGGATGTAAGTGTTGAATATCCTATAGTTATAAGGGTCGCTCAGAGGGCAGGTTAAGTTTGGCATAGTAACGCGGGCTCCTCAAAGGACTTGCAGGTTGAGTTTAGCATAGTAATGTGGGCCCCTCAAAGGACTTTCAGGTTGAGTTTAGCATAGTAATGTAGGCTCCTCAAAGTACTGGCAGGTTGAGTTTAGCATAGTAATGTAGGCTCCTCAAAGGACTGGCAGCTTGAGTTTAGCATAGTAATGTGGGCTCCTCAAAGGACTGGCAGGTTGAGTTTAGCATAGTAATGTGGGCTCCTCAAGGGGCTGGCAGGTTGAGTTTAGCATAGTAATGTGGGCTCCTCAAGGGGCTGGCAGGTTGAGTTTGGCATAGTAATGTGGGCCCCTCAAAGTACTGGCAGGTTGAGTTTAGCATAGTAATGTAGGCTCCTCAAAGTACTGGCCGGTTGAGTTTAGCATAATAATGTGGGCCACTCAAAGTACTGGCAGGTTGAGTTTAGCATAGTAATGTGGGCCCCTCAAAGGACTGGCAGGTTGAGTTTAGCAATAGTAATGTGGGCCCCTCAAAGGACTGGCAGGTTGAGTTTAGCATGGTAATGTGGGCCCCTCAAAGGACTGGCAGGTTGAGTTTAGCATAGTAATGTAGGCTCCTCAAATGACTGGCAGGTTGAGTTTAGCATAGTAATGTGGGCTCCTCAAATGACAGACAGGTTGAGTTTAGCATAGTAATGTGGGCTCCTCAAATGACTGGCAGGATGACTTTGGCAAAAAGTGGGCCCTGCAAAGGGTTGCTAGGGTGACTTTGAATAAAAAAAAGTGTAAGCTCTGCAAAAGTTACTAGGGTGACTTTGGCAAAAAAGTTAGGGCTCTGTATAGGGTTGCTAGGGTGACTTTGGCAAAAAAGTTAGGGCTCTGTATAGGGTTGCTAGGGAGACTTTGGCAAAAAAAGTGAGAGCTCTGCAAATGGTTGCTAGGGTGACTTTGGCACAAAAGTGACGGCTCTGTTGTTGGTTGCTAGGGTGACTTTGGAAAAAAAAGTTAGAGGTCTGTTGATCGTTGCTAGGATGACTTTGGCAAAAAAGTTAGGGCTCTGTATAGGGTTGCTAGGGTGACTTTGGCAAAAAAGTTAGGGCTCTGTATAGGGTTGCTAGGGAGACTTTGGCAAAAAAAGTGAGAGCTCTGCAAATGGTTGCTAGGGTGACTTTGGCACAAAAGTGACGGCTCTGTTGTTGGTTGCTAGGGTGACTTTGGAAAAAAAAGTTAGAGC